ATCTGCTGAGAGATGAACACTTATATCCTCTCTTCACCTCACTGTGGGTTAATTTTAAAGCCTAATGACACCTTGGGTGCCAGCACTAATTGTTTCATTGCAGTGGTGGAATAGGGCAGGGAATGGGAATTGGGAGGAATGCAGGGAAGAAAGGAGGAGAGTCCCAGAGAAGAGGCAGAGAATGGAGGATGGGAAGGGAAAGAAACAAAGTGCTGAGCTTAAAGACGAGCAGATTCCCTGCAGTGACACTGAACAGGGAAAGAAATGAAGCTGAAAAGTAAGAGGTCCAACTGGAGGCAGGCAGGACTTCCACCATGCAGTGAGGAAGGTAGGCCTCATGCTAAGCATATGGGCCAGTCCATGAGCACAGAGTATCATGGTATTCATTGCAAAGGACTCTGTGCACTCTCTAAACAACTCTGCGCCTGAATCCAATCTTCATTTCAAAGGGAATTGATGCCATTACAAAATATCAGCAAAGCTCTGCCCAGCAGCTGTGTCCTCAGCCCTGTTATGCCATCATCAGGTATTCATTTAATTGGGATTCCTTGAACAATGATGGATCTGTTGAAGCAGGGCCCCTCCCTCTTCCCAACCAATGTCAAAGCAGCTCTGGGCTCTTGCTTTGCTCCCATGTCATGCATTAAATTGTTCTGGGAGCTGAAGCAACTGTTGTTGAGCTTCCTGCCCCATCCCCCACCCCCAGGGCCCAAGAGCTAAATGGGAGTTTCATGTGCATCCCCTCAGAGGGCAGCCAGCCCCAGGGCACTTTTGTGCCGTGCTGTTGAATAAACAGCAGGATTTTTCCTCCCTGGTGCTCATTGTGCTGTCATTAGAGTGGCTGTCTGTGGGGAGGTGGATTGTGTGGGGAGGAGGGTGTGCGAGGGGTGGTCTCTGAATACTCTGGAGGAAGGGAGGGCTTTTGAGCAACTAATAAAGGAGACCTTCTGCAAAGTAAAAAACCAACATATGCCCCTTTCCAACTTTCTCCCTTGGGCACTTCCAAAACCTGGGGAGGAGCAGCAGGGAGTGCCTGTGGGACCTGGATTCAGACAGGTAGGCAATTACTCCCTGTTCCTCATATGTAGTCCTGGAAAAAGAGATTTACTTTAAAGGGGAGCATTGCCAAAGAACTAGCAGAGAACAAAGCCCAACATTTACTTGCCACTATATTTAGACCTCTTTTCCATGGGAAAAATTATCTTTCCAACAGCGACAGCATCAGCTTGTTCTTTATTTACCCCTCCAGGCACAAGAGGAATGAACCAGTCTCGTGTGCAACTGCTCTGACAACACGATCCAGAATATTGGAGGAACTGGAGTTGCGTGCAGAGTGGTGACCTAGCAGTTAGGACAGGATTCAACCTGCTCTGACCCAGACAGAGCTACCTCCCTACTGCTGCCATTTTGCAACAGTTCAGATGCAGTGTTACAGAGGGAGGCACTTTGTGCTCTTTCTGTGGCCAAGACTTCAGGTTTGCTCAGTTTGTAGGAAAGGCACGGAGGCTGGTTCTTTGTGAGGGGAAACACAGCCCAAGTGGAATAGCAGTCCACTCGTAAAGGCTGTGTCTACTGTCAGATGAACTGTGTTCTTTAAACACATTAAAACCAGCAGGTGTTTAAAGCCCCACGGTACCATATATGGGGCAATCAGTAATTTAATATGTACTAGCAGGTAAAGATCAGCTTTTGGTTCAGCCTGAGCCTTGGCTGCAAAAAGTTGGCTAGCAAGGATTTGCCTTTCCCCTGGTTCATCCCAGAAGACAGTCCACATCATTGCTGATGGCAGGGACCAGCTAACAATCAAGAACAATTCTGTCTATACATGTTTAAACACTACTTTTTTGAGGATCAACTCAAGCAAGTCAGTGGTGTCAGAGTGGCTCATTAATGTACAACTCAGTAGTGACAACACCTAGTGAATTCATCCCCCCACTTCCTCCCCCACAGTGCATTTGTCCTGGCTAGATTACATCTCCCATCATGCACCTGCAGCCTTGTGACTCCCTGTGGTGTGGTGAGTTTGGCCCATAGTGGAGAACTGAAGCATGAGGTATCAGACCACTATAGAAAGGAATAATCCTTGAAACACTTCCCAGAGTCATTACTGCCCATTCAACAGGAAGGAAAACTGAGGCACAAATCAATTAATTAGCTTCTCCAGGGCCCCACTGTGAGTCAGTGGTAGAGGCAAGAGGAGAACTAGTCCTGTGCCACAACCTTCAATCAAGGCCCCCTCTAGAATTCACTCCAGCTTAAATGTTACATCAGTTTAAAATGTCTCCTCTCTGTGCTGAAGCCCTGCCTCCTGGTGAAGCAGGGGTGCTGTTTTATTCTTTTCCCTTTCGGAAGGAAGCTGGATGAATCAGGTTCAGTCTCTGGGTCTCAGTGAGAAAGCCGATGGGTTCAGCTGCTGGGGGAAGTTTCAGTACTAGAGAAAGTTGTTTATGTAGCTATTGTCTGACTGTACATGAGCGTGTGTGAGTGCAGGCAAGCAGAAACTGAAGAAATAATTGCGGTGTGTTTGGAGAGCCCCTCTGCTATTCTGTGTCTGACTTGGACTGTGATACCCCAGAAGTCTGAATGGGCTCCTTTTTGTGCTTATACAGGGATGCACACAATGAATAGTAATGGAAAGTCAACTCCTCAGCTTGTGTAAATTGCCTCTACTGAAGCCAAGGGAGATTCAGTGACTTACAGCAGCTAAGGATTCAGCTCATGGTGCCCTGACTGAAAGTAGCATTAGCCATCCCTAAGAAATACAGCACAGCATGAGACTCAGTAAGAGGCCACCCGCTTTATATATTTTGTAGGCAGTGAATGATGGATGAGAGTTCATGAACCAAGCAGACAGAAGCCCCAACAGCTGGAAGCAGAAATCTGCATAATTCTAACTGGAAATCAAACACAAATGTTGAACGCAGAGCACCAGAACAGATCAGCCGGGATGGGATGATCCATTCTCCATCAGCCCACCTTTTGAACGTAGGTGATCCTGTATCTCTGCAGGGCAGGCCCAGCACGTGCACAGGTAGCTGATGTTTCAGCATGGGAGGAAAAGGAGGAGGATTAGGTGTAGCCCAACTCCAGAGTGTTCCTGGGCTTGGGAGGCAGCAAAACAGATCACTTTGCAGGTATGGGTATTAAAGGCCTTGTTCTTCTGCTCAGTGTCAAACCAATTGCCACATTTGAGATCAGGAAGGAAAGGAATCTTACCCTAAGGTCAGAGCAGCATGAATTGTTGGGGGGTGGAAGGGGAGGTTGCCTTCCTCTGTAGGATCACATTTGTAAAGATAAATGCATAGGCTTGTCACAGGGGACAGAGGGGATAGGTTACTCTATGTCCACAGTTAGCCTGAAGCAAGCATCTGTGTACAGCAGCCTTCAGGCATGAGTCATTTAGGACTTGAAGTCTGACCCAGTCCATCAGTTTGTACGTTCCTAAGAGAGGCAACAGATGTACAAGATCAGCATGCCCCCTTACAGCCGGAAACAGCCTACCTGAGAACAGCTGGAAGCCACAAATGTCCTCAATCTTTCAACAGTCACTGTCCCAGACTCTGGAAATTATCATCCATCGGTAGGCAGGGATTCATGAGGCGTCCCACAGACTTGAAGGTACAGAAGAGAAAAATAGAAACTTGGTTCTACGTGGAACTGTGAAGGAGTGAGAGTGTAACCAGAAGAACAGGACAAGAGCAGCCAGGCACCAAGGCCTGAAGCTACAGCAGATTGAATGACAGTGAAGAAGAAGGGCTAGATTTTCAGAAGTGCTCTCTCCTCCAGTACCTGATGAAGGGTGTTTGTGTCTGAAAGCTTGCAATTAAGAGCATTTTTTTTTGCAAAAATCTTGTTGGTCTAATAAAAGATATAATTTCTACTATGAGCCCTGATTGCTTCTACCTCTATATGCTGAGGTTAGTAGAGCTCCTCCAAAAATTCCTGTCCTAATGATTCAATGTGGTCTCTGAAAACTGTCAGAATCGATGCCCAGTGCTAAGGGCTGGGAGCTCCAGTGAATTGCTATGAAAGAGATCTAACTACTGTTTTCCCCCAATAACAGAAAAAAAAATCCTACTAGGCTTTTTATATTAGAAACTCAAGTCTCAAACAGAAGATTGGGGTGCACCAAGAGCTAGTGGATATGAGAGGAAAAATGGAAAGTTGAGCTATTGCACATGGCTCAGATCTTTGCTAAGTCTCTCTAAAACTAGAATTGTTGTTTTTTGGGAGCACCTACAGTATTTCAACTTCAGTCACTGATGACTTTTGCATAGAGGAAGTCTTTGTTAAAGATCCAGGCTTTCAAACCTTCAGCCCAGGTGTTAAGTCCACATGCTAAACACCCTGGAGACTTCCCAGGGATCCTCCAGTGAAGCCACAGGAGGTCACACCAGGGTTTGTATGATGGGGGATGTTGGGGGGGAGGGTGAGCCCGCCCAAGACACAAGAGTCCCCCCATAAGAGATAAGACCCCCCCCAGCTCCTTCTGGCTGCCACAGCTGCAGACCCCCCAAGAGTCAAAGTGTAATTTGAACCATGAAGCGTTTAAAATATGGAAAGCTGTATTTACCCACTGGTTATTTTGGCCTTCCTCTATAGTGTGGGGCGCGGCTATCTATGATAGCAGTCTGCAGATACTTGAATGCTTGCGGTAAAGAAGAGGGAAAACACCTTTTGTCTGTTGCTGCAGAGAGGAGGACCAAAGGCTTGAAGTTGCAGCAAAGAAAGTTGAGACTGGACATTGTGAAAAACACCTTCACAGTTAAAATACTAAGGCAGTGGAACGGACTGCCTGGGGAAGTTGTGGGCTCTCCGTCAGGGAGGTGTTCAAGAAGAGGTTGGACAGCCACTGGTGGGGGATGCTCTAGGGAGAGCTGTGCGTGTTTTCTACCATGGGTATTTCCCATGCTTCAGGGCCTTGCTGATTGCCCCCCTCCCCCCACTTTCCTGCTACCTGTGTCAGGAGGTTTTTAAGCCCCCCATCAGAGGCATGGGGCATGTTACTGGTGCGTGCCTGTGCTCCTGCTGGGGCCAAAGCTGGAGGTTCCTGGCTAAGGGGTCTTGCACCTCCTCTCAGGGTCAGACCGATTGCCAGATTCGGGGTCAGGAAGGAGTTCTCCCCCATGGTCAGATTGGTACGGACTGTGGGGGTTTTGCCTTCCTCTGAAGCAGGGATTGTGGCGCTGGACCTGGGATCCTGAGCACATACTGACAGTATCTCATAGAAGCAGGACATCGGCTGCCCTGGCTCCCCTGCTTGGCCTGGGGCAGGCTCGGGGTGAGGTCTGTGTTGTGTGGAGGTTACATTGGGGCTGGTGTGGCAGGCTGGCCCTGCCTCGGCACGGCCTGGACTAGGTGAGCTGTGGAGGTGCCTTCCAGCCCGGCTTCCCCGGATCTCCCGGCGTTGCCCAGAGCCCCCGCCGGCCGCGGGCTCCCCGGGGCGTCAGGGCCGAGTAGTTGGGACGACGGGCCCTGACACCAGGACTCCGGGTCCCTCCCGCAGCGCAGGGCGGCGGGGCTGCCCTAACCCCGGGAAGG